GGAGGCTCGCAAGGATCTACAGGGAGGGCCCAAGAGAGCGTCAAGAAAATTTGAAATCCAGTGAACTCTTAAGAGAAACCGCTGTTGGGTCGGCCATCACCTCCGGGCGCGCCTTGATTGTGCGATCCAGTCGCATCACCGCCAACGGGAGGGTTTGTTCGCCATGTCCCATTCTGTTCGCCCAGAGGGTCTGTGGAGGCCTTCGGGCGAACAGAACGGGACAGGGCAAGGAATGGGGAAGACATGTCCGAATCTCCTGGGCCCCCCAGATGCTCGTCCGAAGAATGCGGAGAGGTCCCAGGGTCATATCAATTGGCTGCTGTCACAGGGTCCGGTCTGCTTGGCCCGAAGAGTTTGCCAAGGCCCCTGGGGGAACAGAATGGCACAGCATATCGGGCAAAGGGGGGCGGTAGCTGGCCTGTCAGACCCGGCGTTCGTCTTCTGCCCAAGCGGCGCGGGGCCCACGGGCCCCAGGGTTGGCGTCCCGCTGGGATTCCTCTTGTTCGCCCACAGGGTTGGAGGTGGCCTCCAGGCGAACAGAATGGGGCAGGACAATGAATGTGGGAGACTTGTCGCAAGCTCCCAGCCCCCCCAAGTGTGCGCCCGAAGGGTGTGGGGCCGCGTTGGCTCCCTCAAAGGGCCGTCTTGGAGCCGTCCAGGCGCGTCTTGAGAGCGCCGTGTGCCGTGATGGGGCCGTCTTGGTTCGTCGTGGGCCCCTGTCCTGGCCCATCGGGGTCCTCGTGGGGCTGTCTTGGAGCCGTCTGGGACCGTGAGGGGGCCGCCTTGGAGTCGTCTTGGGCCCCTCCTGTGCGCCTCCTTGGGCCCTCCTGGGCCCAGCAGGGGCCGTATTGGCACCCTCTTGGGGCTGTCTTGGAGCCGTCTTGAGCCGTCGCAGCGCGCCTTGGGTTGTTCTGGGTCCGTCTTGGCCCGTCTTGGGGCCTTCCTGGGCGTTTCCTCGGACCCTCCTGGGACTTTCTGGGGCCTCTTGGTGCATCGGACCGCCGAAACGGCGGGAAACGCAAAGGGTGTAACAGTAAACAATGGAAAATTAACGATTTTTGCCAGCTGGGACTCTCTTGCCATCTTGGCCCGTCTTGAGGCCCCGAACGGGCGCGTCCTTGGGCCGTCCTGGGCGCACCCTCCTGGGACCGGTTTGGAATCGTCTTGGGCCGTCTTGAGCGCGCCTTGGGCCGTCCTGGGCCGGTCTGGGGCCGTGTTGGCACCCTCGCGGCGAGGAAGCTCGGAGGCGGGCTCGAGGCCTCTTTGGGGCCATTTTGGAAGCTGTTGGGGCCTCTGTTGGGGCCTCGTTTGGGCTCCTTGGGAGCCTCCTGGGGCCTCTTCGGGGGATTCTTTGGCGGCCCCTTGGGGCCTCTTGGGGGCCTGTTTGGGCCTCCTGGCGCCCTCTTGGGGCGGAAGGCTCGGATTTTCGGTCCGTGGTCCCCCTCTTGGCCCCCTCTTGGGCCTGTCTTCGGGCCCTCGTGGGCCGTCTTGAGCGTCTCTTGGGTCGTCTTGGGGCCCTCTTGGGCTGTCTTGGGGCGCTCTTGGAAACCTCTTGGGCCGGTCTGGGGCGCTCTTGGAGGCCTCTTGGGCCGTCTTCGAGCGTCGGAAAACGGAAAAGGCGAGAAGGCCAAAATCCTTCCAAAACCATCGTAAAGCGGACGATCTTGAGGCCCAAAACCGTCCAAAACCTCCTGAGGCGGTCCCCTCGTCCGCCCCCTCGCTTCGAAGCAGTTTTTCAGCCCCGTGGCACCTCTTGGGGATCTCTTTTGGGCTCCTGGGGGCCTCTTGGGCCTCCACTGGATTCGCTGCCCTCGGTCGGCAATCGTCGATCCTACGACGACTCTCCCCAACGGAGAAACATCGAAGGCCCTCGGAGCGTCCAACATTGTTCTTTTGTGCCTTCGATATGCCGGTCGCCTCTCGTCCGCTCCCCCCCTCCTGGAAGCACTTCTGAGGCCACTTAGGGCTTCGTGGGGGCCGTTTGGGGATCTCTTGGGGCGTTTTTGCCTGCGATATGCCTGTCGCCTCTCGTCCGCTCCCCCGCTCCTGGAGGGAATTCTGAAGGCACTGAAGGCTTCGTGGGGCCGTTTCGGAGCCTCTTCGGCCTTCTTCTGGGCCTCCCGGGGGGGCTCTTAGGGCCCTCTCGGGCCGTCTTGGGTGCCTCTTGGGCCGTCTTGGGCCCGTCTGAGACCCGCCTCGGCGCCTCATGGGCTGTCGTGGGCCGTCTTGGGCCGCTCCTGGGGTCGTCTTGGGTGCCTCTTGGGCCGTCTTGGGCGCCTCCTGGGCCGTCCTGGGGCCGTCCTGGGGCGTCTTGGGACCGTTTTGGGGCCCTCCTGGCCCGTCTTGGGGCTCTCTTGGGGTCCTCTTCGGCCGTCTTGGAGCGGTCTGGGGGACTTCTTGGGCCGTCTTGGAGCGTCGGGAAGCCGAAGAGGCGAGGAGGCCGAAAACATCGAAAAACACAATAGAAATCGACGATTTCTGTCGCACGGGGCCCTCTTGGGAGGCCTCTTGGGAGGCCTCTTCGGGCGTCTTGGACGCCTCTTGGGCCGTCTGGGGCGAATCTCAGGCGTCTCGGGCCCATCTTTAAGCGTGCCGGGGCTCTCCGGGGCCGTCTTGGGGGCTTCTGGGGGCCCTCTCGACATGTCCTGGAGCCTGCCTGGGCGGCCCTGGGCGGCCCGGGGCCAGCCCGGGGCGGTTTCGGTGCATTGGGGCCTGCGCCATTCTGGCACGCACTGGGCCCTGCAATGTAGTAGAGACTAGGGCTGACCCGTGGACTCCGTCCACGACATCTTTCTGGAATGGTTCTCGGAGAAACGGTGCAGATTGTGCCGAAAATCTACAAACACGGCGGCGGCCCGGGCGGCGGCAGCGAGACCGCGCCTTCGTGTCCGAGCTCTTGTAGCGCTCCAGCAGGTTGGCCCGGCGCACTGCTCGTTCACCCCCCTCCTATTGAGGGCAGTTTCGAAGTCTTTCGGGGATGCGCGTCGAAGTCGAAGCCCATCTGAAGGGTCTCAGGAGCGCCCGGGGAAGGGCTCGGGAGGCCATCGGGGAAAGCCACCGAAAGCGCCAGGGAGGCTCGCAAGGATCTACAGGGAGGGCCCAAGAGAGCTTCAAGAACATTTGAATTTCAGTAAAATCTTTAGAGCAACCGCTGTTGGGTCGGTCATCACCTCCGGGCGTGCCTTAATGGTGCGATCCAGTCGCATCACCGCCAACGGGAGGGTTTGTTCGCCATGTCCCATTCTGTTCGCCCAGAGGGTCTGTGGAGGCCTTCGGGCGAACAGAACGGGACAGGGCAAGGAATGGGGAAGACTTGTCCGAATCTCCTGGGCCCCCCAGGTGCACGTCCGAAGAGTGCGGAGAGGTCCCTGGGTCATATCAATTGGCTGCTGTCCCAGGGGTCCGGTCTGGTTGGCCCGAAGAGTTTGCCAAGGGGGAACATAATGGCACAGCATATCGGGCAAAAGGGGGCGGTAGCTGGCCTGTCAGACCAAGCGTTCGTCTTCTGCCCAAGCGGCGCGGGGCCCACGGGC